GAAGTCTCCGCCGACAGGGGGGAGGTCGGACAGGAAGCGCGTTTCAGAGAAGCCGCCGACGTCGAACGGGAAGCGCGTTTCAGAGAAGCCGCCGACGTCGAACGGGAAGCGCGTTTCAGAGGAGCCGCCGACAGGGGAGCCGGCGAACGGGGAGCGCGTTTCAGAGGAGCCGCCGACAGGGGAGCCGTCGAACGAGGAGCTCGCTTCAGAGGAGCGGACGACAGGGGAGCCGTCGAACGAGGAGCTCGCTTCAGAGGAGCGGACGACAGGGGAGCAGTTCGATGAACGTTGTTGAAGTCATCGGCGGCGATGAAGGGGAGCTGTCGGTCGGGGAGCAGTCCAGCGACAGCGACGTGGTGGAAGTCTCTGCCGACAAGCCCGCAGTTCGACGTTCCACCCGCTCTAACTTTGGCAAGCCTCGCGAGAAGCTGAGCTACCATGCTTGCCTGCCGCCGACCTCCTACAGCACTCTGCTCGACGACGCGCAGGACGACGTCAACGTTCCAGAGCTCGACCCTGATATGCACGCCGACCCGGAGCATCGCTGGGACATCGCTAACATGACAGTGAAGGAGGCGTTAGCGAGTTGGAAGGGCAAGGCGGTGAAAGCGGCGATGGACGAGGAGATTCGAAGTCTCGTCACCAACGGGACGTGGGAGCTGGTCGAGCGTCCGCGCGGCGTCAATGTCATGAAGAACCGCTGGGTTCTGACGACGAAGTATCACGTCGACGACACGGTCGCACGCGAAAAAGCCCGCCTGGTGGTGAAGGGCTTCACGCAGGTCTACGGAGCTGATTACGAAGAGACGTATGCACCAGTCGGGAGCTACGTCACGCTGCGAATTTTTCTCAGCATTGTGGCCGTCCTCGACCTGCACCTCATGCAGTTAGACATGAAGAATGCGTTTCTGCAGAGCAAGCTCGATCGCGTGCTCTACATGGACCAGCCGGCTTGCTACAACAATGGGACTGGCCGCGTATGCAAGCTGCTGAAGAGCTTGTATGGGCTGAAGCAGAGTCCTCTGTTGTGGTACTCGGCGCTCGACGCTGTTCTGACGGGCGCTGGCTGGAGCAAGAGCCAGGTGGACGAGGCTCTCTATTTCAGAGTTGGCGACGACGGAGTGGCGTGCTGGGTGCTCGTCTACGTCGACGACTTGCTCGCCGCCAGCAGCAGCACCGCGATGCTGAAGGAGCTGAAGGAGCTGCTGGAGGCTGCCTTTGAGCTGCGCGAGATCACCCCAGTCGAGAAGTATTTGGGGCTCGAAATCGTGCGCGATCGTCCGGCGCGGAAGCTGTGGCTGCACCAGCAGTCCTACGTTGACAAGCTGCGTAGGCGCTTCATCGACGAGGAGCAGACTGGTCGGCGTCCGAAGACGCCTGTTTCCGTCGACGCTTACGCGGAGCTGACTTTCGACGATGAGGACTTCCAGTCGCGCGAAGAGGAGGAGTACCGTCAGAAGGTCGGTTCGCTGCAGTTCGCTGCCACAACAACTCGACCCGACATTGCATTCGCGTGCAGCAAGCTGGGGTCTGGTCTGACGGTGAGGAGCGACCAGCACTAGCGCGAGGTCGATCGCTGTCTCACCTATCTCGCTTGCACGCGCGATGCTGCTCTGGAGTTTGGCGGCGGACCCGAAACTCTGAAACTGGTCGGCTACGCGGACGCGGACGACGCTGCCGACAAGCAGACTCGCATCAGCACGAGTGGCTACGTTTTCACCTTCGGCGGCGCAGCTGTCTCCTGGACGAGCCAACGCATCAAGTGCGTAACTCTGTCCTCGACGGAGTCAGAGTACATTGCGGCCACGGAAGCTGGCAAGGAGGCTCGTCGACTTCGATTCCTCCTCGCCGAGTTCCAGCTCCTCGATGCTGGGACGCCGACTACTCTGAACGTGGACAATCAGTCCGCCATCGCGGTCGCTGAGGGCTTGGGGCTGAAGGGCAACCTCAAGCATATGGAGCGGCGCTACGCTTGGCTGCAGCAGATGGTGAAGCGCAAGAAGATTGCGCTGGAATACATCCCGACATCCGAGCAGCCGGCGGACTTCCTCACGAAAGGGCTGCACTTTCCGGCCTTCAACCGGTGCTCTGTCGCGGTCGGCCAGGTTCGCCTTACCGAAATTGGCGACGACGATGACGACGTGCAGCAGTAGGTGCCATGTCCTCTAACATGGCTGGTGCGGTGATCGGCGTGCGGAGGTGTGCACGCCAGAGAAATGTCCCCTTGTATTCTATTACTTAGCGTCTGGGTGGACCTTGTGTGTGGGTGCCCAAGCGTGAGCTGGGCAGGGGAGTGTCGGAGTGAAAGGCCCCGCCCTCGCTTGGGCGCAGGCATTCTCTGCGACGACGTGGTGAATTCGACGAAGTGATCGTTGCATTGGATCAGCGCGTCTTCTGAAACCGCGGGTGGTTTTCGAGGAAGGTTGTCCTCTGATTCACCAGCCCGTCAACGAGCTCTGGTCGACGGGGCGCTGTTCGGCGAGCGTCAGCTCGGCGAACTGGTCGGCCAAATTCGCGCGACTGCGAAACTCTGCGAGAGCATGCGAAATTCGCTCAGGTGGCTCTTAGCGAAATTCGACCTCCGAAATGGCATCACGTGCTCGACGGCGGACATCTGGGGAAACCGTCGGAGCGTTTTCTACCTGGCACCTGCGCAATGTCTCTGACGGTGTAACCGTCTACCTGCACCTACTCGGCAGGTGCACACCTGCGCAGATATTCACCTGCGAATGCAGCGCTGGCAGGCCGCCCTGCTGCAGCGCTGGCATGTCGCCCTTCTGCTACGCTGGCAGACCGCTCTGTTTCAGCGTTGGCGAACCGCTCTGATGCAGTGCTGGCAATTCGTGTTGCAGAATGCTTGCTAGGGGTTGCAATGCCATTCCAGAGATATCACTTTGCATGCTCATTCTTGTACTCTAATTCTCAATTTTCAATGTACTTTCAATTTCCTTAGTGGAAACTCTTGCCAAATCTCTTTGTGAACAAAGCAAGTAGTGAGAACTCTATTAGAACGCTACTAGAGCGCAGCGATCACCCACACAACTCCGTGCCCTCCTTCGTAGTTCACACCCGTTGTAGGGTGACTCTCCGCATCGACAACAAGGCTGCCATTGCCTTGTGTGAGGAGCACAGACTGGAGCACAGAACGAAGCACATCGCCCTGCGGTACTTCCTTGCTCGAGAGCTGCAGCAGCGCGGTCAGCTTCGTCTGCGTTACGTGGCCACTGAGGCCAACATTGCTGATGTGTTCACCAAGGCGCTTCAGCCTTGTGACCATCAGCGCTTCTGTACTCTTCTAGGCCTTGTGCCTGCTGGACCTCACTTGCTTACTTCTTGACTCTGTTTGTACTGTGATCTTTATATATATATACCTGCATGCTTACACTTGCTAGGTTATGATCACTGTATCTCTTGCTATATTATCAAACTGCATGTGAACTGGTCTTGTGACCACTTGCTTGTGCTCAGAATTTGTGTGGTATCCTTGAGATCCACCCTGAGCTTGCTTTGCTTTGCTTTGACTGGTCTCATGACCCTGTGGTTGTCTCCCACTGCGCCTATGGGGGTGTGTCAAACATTGTATGTTTATATTGTGTATTGTGTAGGCTGTAGTGGGTTACACCTTAGGGGGTACACAAACTTAGGGTTTCATACTTGTGCCAAACATTCTGTTAGTTCATTCATTCCCTGCTTCAGTTCTTCTGACAGTTGTCTCCCGTCGAGTCCACCAATTTCTACTGTTACGGCTGACATATATATTGTCATAAGAATACGACATTGAACCCGCGGGTTTCGGAGGGTTTTTTGGCCTGGTGAGCCGGGAATTTTCGGGGGCCTGGAGGGATTCCGCGGGTTTTTCGTTTTGCCTCCGATCCCATTTGGGCCAGGGCGGGCGGGGCGGCATGTGATGACGTCACCCGTGTGTTGAGCATCCATTTGCCGAACCTCTTTTTTTCAATTTCAAATTCCTCATTCCCGAACCTCAATTTGTCAATGTGCGGATCAGGCCGAGCCTAGGGCGCATCAGAGCAGATGCGGCCGCAGAACGCAGCCCTGATCCTGAATTTCATTTGCGCGACATGCAAGTCGGCCCAGTTCGACAGCGAGGGTGACCCATGCCAAAAATCATTGAGGTGACCTTGTTCCGTGGGCGGGAAACGGTTTGCGACTCTTACGACCCCCATGCGATGAGTCAAAATTCCCGCCAGCGCGAACGATCCCCCTGCGATGAGGCGAGTTTCCCGCCCTCGCGAACGATTCCCCCTGCGATGAGACAAATTTCCCGCCGAGCCGGGAAAACAAGGCGGGAAGTTCAACCAGGGCATTTGATGCCACAGCGCGCCCTAACAGTAACTCCCGAAGTAATGATGACAAATTTTATGGGGCAAATCCACAGACGGTCTCCAAATGGTTGCTGCTCCTGCTTTTCAAGTAAGCCACTTCAATGGGTCTGGAAGCAGGGTTGGAAAATGTTTTCCCTGCCCATTGGAAGGGTCAAAAAAAGGGTTGCTGTCATGCCAATTCCCTATAACACACATCACATGGGTTATCACCGATATGAACCACGCGGAAAGTTTTTCAGCTGTACTTTTCTGGTCGCGGAAATATTCAGGACGCAGACCGTGAAAACTCGTCCCGCTTCAATCGAGCGTTGAGGTTCAAATATTACACTTCTTCCCTCCATTTTCGTTGCGGGCAATGACGTGGCACCATTAATTACATTGCAATCGCTCTTTTCCCTTGTAATTTGTCCTTTTTTGTGCGACACTCCAAATGATTGCCCGAAACCAAATGGTTGCCTGGTAAGCAACCATTTCCTATCTAACAGGTTAAGGTTATATATTGATCGTAATCAAAATACAAGGGGCAATACCATAGAGCTATCTAGAAACATGGCCGAGATGGCCAGCATCCTCAGAGGAGCACGTGGAACACACGTTATTTCTTTGTCCTACGGACAACCGCCAGTATCCTGGGGAGACGCTCTATGCGAGGGCAGTCTACGGTGGGCGGAACGGTTTCCCCAAAAGCCACGAGAGTCTAAGGTCAGGGTGAATGGAAGGCGTGCCGGTCTTGTCAAAGAGGAGGAAACGGAGTTTTTGCGCGCGCTTGATGCCGGAGGATATGCGTTGACGCTTCTTGGCAGACTGGCGTCTGCCTCTCAACATAAAAATTTTGAAGGCGATGAGGAATTGGGCTAATACCAGCTGAAGTGTCTCGAAGCTCGAGGAGGAGGAGTTGCGGTACTTATGGTCGCAGCGGTTGTTCCAAAGTGTTTTGACTGCGGCTCCCACTAGAAGGCTCCATGGGGGGGATTGTCCCACCCGTGACTGTATCGGGAAGAAGATGTGTTCGGCGGTGGTGGTTTGTCTGAGATGGCGGTCAGCGACTGTGCGGAGGGCCGAGATGACGTTTCCGGCGGAGGAGCACTCAAAGAAGATGTGTGGCAGTGTCTCGACGACGCCAGCTGGGCACCGGGGGCACACCCCTCGGTCGTCAAAGTATTGGAAGCGTGATCCAGAGGGAAGGGTGAGCGTGTAAAGTCTGAAAAGGATGTCCCGTTGACGGCTCGGCTGATCTTTAAGAAATGAGTCCTTAAAGCCAGGGAGGGGAGGAGGAGGAAGGGTGAGATCGCGGGTCCATCGGCTGTGGTGAGTAAGTGGCTGCGGTGAGTAGAGGAGACGTCGGATGTCGGCGAGGCTGGGGACGCCGTCCTGTAGAAGTTCTATCCTCGCTCCTAACCCTGCCCCTGTGTGAAGTGGCCCTGCGAGCCACCAGTCCCTGACGTGCACCTCTATGAGGTCCTGAAGACGGAAGAGTCCGGAAGATGCCGGGGGGCGAGTGATGCGGTGGTTTGGCAATACGAGGTGGACTGTAGCCGAGACGGAGGAGGGGGGAAAGAAGGCGACGACTTGGACGGCTAGGTGCGAGATGGAGTAGTGGTCTTTAGAGAGCATGAACCAGTCACCTGGGGAGGCAGAGGAGGCGTGTGGGGTTCGGAGGGCAGCCCACCTGGGACGTTTGATAGCTTCGATGAGAGCAGGGAGGACGCAGGTTGCGTCATCGTGGAATTCCTCTGGGAGTTGGGAGCAAAACTCTTGTGCTGAGATGGGGTTCACGCCAAGGTTGGTGACTTGGACGATGTGCCCGACGCGGAGCTGCCTTGTAAGGAGGAAGCGCTCGTGTTGGCGGGTGCCGAAAGGCCGATTGTCAGGTTTAAGGAGCGAGCGGTTGAAGGCCAAAGGTTCGGTGAGGATACACTGCACGCGTAGGGGGGGGCCATGGATTACCAGGGGAAGGGAGAGGATAGCTTTTAGTTCGTCCAGCGCCCGGGGGGGGATGAAGGTGGGGAGATAGTCTCGCTCGAGGATGGCTTTATGGGAGAGCAGACCGTGAAGCCCATAGGGGAACGGGGTCAGGGTACGCGCAACTTCTTCGGACGGTGTGGCTCCAAATCTGCGCAAGGCACGCTGGATAGCGAGGGCTTTGACCTGTGTAGATGGGGCTATTGCTCCAACCCCACCATCGCGGGGGGAGTTGTATAAGAGGCCATTGGGGAGGAATCGTTGTGCGAGGAAATTCCCGAACGATATGTCTAGGCGTTTGATGGTGTCCGGTGGGGCTGGCTGGAAGCGTCCGGGATAGGAGATAACAGAGTTCAGAAAGATAGAGGAGAGAGATTTACGGCACATGACCGTGGCGTGCAAGGCTGCCAGGAATCTGGCAGTGTTTTGTATGCGCGCAAGGGCCATAGTCCAGGTAGTGGAACCGGGGTGTAATCGTTCGACGTAGATTCCAAGAATGCGTTCTGCTTCATCGGGGGCACGAACGGGAATAGGCCCGGCGTGCACAAGGACAGTGGGGGGATGTTGAAAGGGATAATGGAGCATTTGTTCCAGTTGGTGACCTCCCCAGACACGGATCCAAAAACGCCTAAAAGCAGGACTGCGAGGCCGAGCTCTGTGTCGGAGGTGAGGAAGAGAGTTACATCGTCCGCGTAGGATGCCATGAGTCGGCGCTGGGCCGGAGACAGGGCGAAGCCGGGGAGGAAGAGGGCCATATATCGGTGGAAGATCTCGATGACGCAGACGAAAAGTAAAGGCGCCAGAGGGCAGCCCTGTCGGACTCCCGTACGAACGGGGAATGTGGGGCCGAGCATGTTGTTGACCGAGATCCGTGGGCTCGTGTCGGAGTGCATTAGCCGTACCCAGTGGATGAATGATGCAGGGAGTCCGAGGACCGCTAAGGCTTGGAGGAGGAAAGGTCGGTCGACGAGGTCATACGCCTTCCGAAAGTCCACCGTAAGAGCGAGAAGAGGGGCCGACGAGAAGGCCGCCCAATCCATAATGTCAAGGGTGTCGTTGATTGTGTCTCCGATTTTCCTGTTTTTTATGAAGGCGGTTTGTGATGGGTGGATGAGCTGGGGGAGAATGAGCTGAAGGCGGTTAGCCAGACATAGAGCGAGGACTTTGTAATCGGCGTTCATGAGGGTGATGGGGCGGAGATTCTCTACTAGCGAAGAATCACCCCTTTTTGGAATAAGGACAGTGCGTCCGGTCAGCATGGATGGAGGTAGGCGGGAGAGTGGCTGTAGTGGGGAGAGCAGGGAGTGGAAGGCCGGTGCAAATCGCGGGGAAAACTGCCGAAAGAGTTCCCCGGGAAGGCCGTCTAGGCCGGGGGTTTTTCCTCGGGACAGAGATAGTAGCGCTTTTCCAATTTCAGCAAGGGAAAGGGGGGCGCTGAGGCGTAAGAGTAGGGGGTTCGGGATGGAGGAGGGGGGGATGTGTTGCCAGAAGGAGTTGCTTGCGGTGATGGGGCTGTTTCCGCTGTAGAGTGTCTGGAAAAAGTTGGAGCACATGTTGGTCATGGTGGGAAGGTCCGATGTCGTCTGTCCGTTAGGTAAGGTCAGCGAGGTGATGATCGAGCCTTTGATCCGTGAGTTGAGGCCAGAGAGGAGAGAGGAAACTCCCATTTCTCTGTGCCCTTCCACTTTGAGCTTGGCCTTGAGCGCAATCTCGGAGGCTTTCGCGGCTTCGTACCTGGCCAGATGGAGTCTTGCTTGGTCAAGGCGGTTGGACTCAGCCTGAGTCAGTGGTGTGTACGCTGCATGTCGCTGTAGGGAGCCGATGGTCTGTTCCAGATGTGCGATCGTGCCATCGACGCGGCGTCTCTCCTGGTTGGAAAAGCGTTTGAGGTTGAGGGTGAGGTCGAGCTTCCATCTGTCCCAGGAGTCCGGGGAAGGGGTGGAAGGGAAGACTGCGAGGGCGGAGTCGACGATTTGTGAGACATGGGGCCGCATGAGTAGATGTTGTCGGAGTCGCCATGGTCGAGGGGCAACTGTGGGGTTGAAGAAGCTGAGCGAGCAGAGGGGGGCGTAGAGGTGGTCCGTGATTGCCGTGCGGGTTTGGATGTACGGACATGCCGCAAGACGGGGTACGAAGGCCCGAGAGATGTATATCCTGTCGAGTCGGGAGGAGGTGGGCGGCGTTGCAGTGTTGTGACGCTGCCTCCCGTGAAAGGAGAATACGTCTGTCGGCGTGGGGTAGAGTTGACGGAAGGTGTCGACCAGTGCGTGGTTATCCATGAGTTTGGCGAATGAAGCGCCCTCACGTACCTCAAAGTCTTTGGGAGGGCGATTCCGGTCGATGGGAAGGACTACCGAATTGAAGTCTCCGGCGAGCATGGATGCAGCAGCGGCGGTCGGGGCTTCAAGTGCCGGGACGAGTGTGATGGTCCACCACATCCGGCGCTCGTAAAACTGTGTGGGGCGTATATGGCGATAAGGCGAATTTGCTCACGGAGATAGTTGAGGTGGATAGTGATAAGTCTGCCATCTGCGGAGGGGAGTGGGGAGGACAGCGAGATAGCCCTGTTGAAAGATAAGATAGAGACACCACCGATGAGAGTGGGCCTCCCTGTAGTGCTGTCGGTAGAGAGTAGTGCTGGGGCGTGAGCGGAAGCGTGCGGTCGAAATTTTAAGTCCAGGTTGGGGATTCTGTCGATGAGCCGGGTGTCAATGAGGATGACGAGGTCAGTGGGAGCCGGGAGTCTTGCCAGCCACGACCTTAGCACATCCATGTTGCCTGTCCCGTTAATACCGTTCACGTTAATGCATAGGATGCGTATGTGTGTTAACATGGTCAGGCTGTGGAGGCCACCGCACGGGAAAGCGTGCGTATCCACGGCCTAAGTACGAGTTTTTGTTGATGAGTGCAAGTGGTGGAGGTGAGGCCGGAGACGTGCCAGAGTTGGTGAAGTTTGTGGTGCCGAGGCAGCATTGGGATGCATGACTGCGTGATAGAAAGGTGTACCGGTGGGTCCTTGAGTTCGAAGAGGTGCCGAAGCAGTGTTTGTTTGGAGTTTGGGGTACGTACAGTATGTAAGCGTGCTCGTTTTGTCCGATAGTTACCAGAGTTACAACGTAGCTGCGAGGCTGACTTGAGGTGCATTGAGGTTGTAAGGTGCAGAGAGGTGATTGAGTGGTGGACTATTGGAGCTTGTGAGTTGAAACGGTAGTAAAAAGTTGTACAATCCGCTTCCCTTGCAACGACAAAGTGCAGCAACGCGGTGCCAATCTTATGCTCTTTTGGTAGTTTGAAAGGACGGTAGTGTCCAATATTGTACCAGTAATCTTGTTTCCGGCTAGAGTTTGGACAGGTGTTGCAGCAGAGTGTATAGACCGGGACAAGACTTAATGCACAAGAACAAGTGAAGCATTTGAAACATAAAGACTTGTAGCGGTCTGATGCACAGTATCGTGGGGCAAGCAACCAAGGGGCAGCAAAAGCTGCTGGGGGTGCAGGCAGAGGAAGATAGTTCTCCGACGGCAGAGACAACGCTTGGAAACACGTAGAGCTAAGGAATCTGCCAGACACACAGAGTGATAGAGGGGCCAGGGAGCACCACGAGAGAGGGGATAGAAGGGGGGGAAGGTAGAGCGGCAAGGTAGCGTGGGTTTCTGAGGGGCTTTGGGAAGGCGCATCAAAGAACAGAAAGGGCAGAGTGTAGAGCAGCAGGAAATCAGGGCCGAGTGAGGGCCCAGGGAGGAACCAGAGGGGCATGAGGGGGGAAGGATGACCCCGGGTGGCGGAGGGGCGGTGTGAAGGCGGGGTGGAGCGGGGAAGGTAGGAGGTGAGGCAGCCACATTGAACCACCACTGGGGGGGAAGGCCGGCCTAGGGGGGGGAATAGGGGCGGCGTCGTAGTAACCAGGGGCGCGGGTCTAAGAGGAGAATAGGGGGGGAAGCATCTGGGGCAGTGGGTGGGAGGTACGTCCAAAGCAGAGGCGTGAAGCGACATAAAGCACAGGGCAGGAAGCCCGGAGAAGCAGGCAGGCAAGCGTGCAGGCGTAGCAGGCGGGTCGGAGCCAGGGGCCGCAAGGCGCAGGAGGTGGGGGGAGGGGTCAAGCAGGCAGTTAACAGAGTCCAGGCGGTTTAAAAGAGCTGACTGGGAGCCCGAGGGGCTTTTCGGATCACGAGGCCACGCGTAGGCAATGGCAGGAGCGAGGATGTGAACGCAAAGGCGTTGGCCACAGCGATTCACGAGGTTTGACTGGAAGCCTAATCGGCAGCCCGAGTCAGGGGTAGACTGGGAGCCTAAGCGGCAGCCCAAGTCCGGCGACCATGCAGAGGTGCAAGGATAGCGAGGCAAGGTGTAAATCGTCAAAGCGAGAGAGCGAGCGGCAACGCACCAGCACAGGGAAGGTAGCGGACCATGATGCTTACAGAAACAGTAAAAAGGAGAGCGACTGAGAGAAGCAGGCGGGTGTGCGGGAGCACTCACCTGAAGATATGCAAGAAGGAGGTAACGCAAGCACGCTTGAGGTTGCCACCGCTTCCAGTAGTACAGAAAAGGCGACGGCGAGCTGTTGGCGGCGCGATAGCACGGTGCGCGCAGACCCGGATAGCGCTGTTGGGAGGCGGCGCGATGGCCCGAGTCTCGTCGTGAAGTATAGCAGGCATGTCGGCGGAGGAGGTGGGGTGTGCGCAAACGGGGGGAGAGCACCAATAGACAGAGCCAGCAGTAACGTTTAAAAATATGCCATGTGTACGTGGAAGCGAGAGGGGGGGGAACGGCGAAAGACGACGCGTGTGCGGTCTGCCGAGTTCCTGGCGGAGGCGGGGGGTTATCCGTTGGCAGCGGCGCGGGAGCCGTAGGGTGCGGCCAGCAGTGCTGAGCTGTTCCTAGGCGGCAGCGCGGCGTTAACGAGGCTCCTCGCGGCCATCGCAAGCGCGGGAGGTCGAGGCGAGGAGAGGCGCACGGTGTCTGCCGGGCCGTCGAGCGGGAGTAGCCGTAAGAGCTAAAAAAGGGGAAGCGTAAATCGAAACTGGAGGGGGAAACGCGAGGGATGCTAAGCTGGGGCGTAATTAGAGACGGTGGGGTCACGACCTTTTCCCTGCATGTCGGCGCATAGTTAGCACAGGAGATCGAGGTGAGCAAGGTGAGCAAGAGCGAAAGCAGGCCGAGGAGGGAGACCGACTTACCTGGCGCCGAGACGATGTCGAGTGAAAGGAACCAGCCTGATCGGCCGCGGTTTGACAGTCGTCCGGTAGAGCAGGAAGGTAAGCTGGGGCCGCTGTTGATCGCGCTAGTTAAAAACCTAGGTGATAACCTAGGTTGCGACATAGTCGGGGGTTGGTGGAGTTGGAGGGGTCGCGGAGGGTTGGCTTCCGTGGGGCTACTGGTGAAGATGATTTCCTATCGAACAGGGCTCCTCCGACTTGAGAGAGGTCATCCCCTCTGACGAAGTGGTTCTGCTGTTACGGAAGTACTGAAGTCCAACATTTGGCAACAATGCCTCCCTAGCTCACTTGTTCTCACGTTTGGAAGCCCTCAGCCGAGCGCTTCGATGCAGTTTCTCCCGTGACCTTGGCTTACCTCGCAAAGCACTTATCTGCGAGCTCGGCGCACATAAATCCAGCAATCCTCCCAACCCGTAAAGCCGTTTCTTCTCGACAAGTGTCATCCTCTGTATCGTCCCTATGTTCTCCTCTAGTTTGATCATTGAAATGATTACACATGCTATCTACAGCTCGTTAGGCCACACTACCCCTCTGTGAACGGATTAGGTTAGATGATGCTGTTGCTGTCGCGAATAACAACTCGACGTGCCTCATTCCATCCCTTACCCGCCTTCCATCCGTAGCCTACGCAGCGGCCTTGTTCTCTCTCCTTCGCAGCGAATCGCTGCCAAGGCACTCCGCCTTGTCGCTGAATGCTATGCTAGTGCCTTCGCAACGGCAATCCATCACTCTTCCGCACCGTCACAGAACGGTTCTCTCTTCTCCACGCGCTTTACATGCACGCGCGTCGCTTAGGCAACCTGACATCTTCTAATTCCCAGAGAGCCTTCTTTTTTCATCACGAGTGGCGGCACCCAGCAATCGACCCTCTCTCGCCGAGTGACTTAGGCCCGTCTGTCGAAAGCCGGCCGTCGCTCTCAGGTGGCTGATCTGCGAGTACTTGTTACGCCGTTCCGTGTGTGTGCGATCGATCGACGTCGCGACCAGCTTGAATCGGATGGACACCGATATGAGCACGGGGAACGCTGCCGGGGACGAGAGGGAGTGGAGGGACCAACTGAAGAAATCCAGAGAGGCTTTGGCGGAGGCAAGGCGGCGAGAAGAGGAGCTGGAAGGAGTGGTGCGGGAGGGCGAGAGGGCGATGCGGGAGCTGGAGGAGTGGACTGCGCGGAAGGTGGACGCCATGTCTGCGCTGACTGCCGTGCTTCGTGAGGAGTGGCTCGCGGGAGCGGTGCTGTCTCGGGCCGAGGGGGCGCGCAAGCGCGCGCGCATGGAGGATGGATCGCCCTCGCATGCGATGATGGTGATGGAGGTGAGTGCACACGACGCTCCACGCCATAATAGGCCACGCCAACGCATTCCCCAACCACGCCACGCCACGCCACGCCACGCTCTTGCCTTTATCACTTACGAGCGAGTCACTCCCTGCGGCCTGCCTTTTTTCTTATCCCCTCAGCCCACCCTTTTATGTTGTCTCTACATCTTCCCTTTCCCTCCTCCCTCCCTTCCCTCTTCACCTTCCTCTCCGTCTCACTCCCTTTGTCGTTCAACCTTCCTCCATGCTCCCTCCTCTCCTCCCTCCCCTCTGCCTCCTCTTCTCCCTCCCCCCCCCTCTCCTCACTTCCCCTCTCCCTCATCTCCTCCCTCTCCCTCCATCGCTCTTCCATCCATTTTTTCCTTCACGACTCACCTCCTTAACTCTCTTCCCCTCCCACCACGCTCTGGGCGCCAGATACGTGCACCTGCCATCATCCGCACTCTTCCTCCTTGGATGCTCAGCTGGCAGCAACTGGTAGTAACTCACATCAGCTGACAGGACTTCTCCCCTTCGCAGCCTCCTCTCTTCTCTCGGCCCCTGCAACACTCCCGCACGCCCATCGCCCTCCTTCTCCTAGCCCTCATTCCGTCATAACCCATGTTGCAGCGTGTGGCAGTAATCCCAGCCCAGCCCATGGCAGTCAATGCGGCTGGGAGTGACACGTTCACGCCTCCGACCCACCTGTGCTGTCCCCGCTCTTGCGCACCATCCAATCGCTCTATTCTCCCATGCCAAGACCATCCATTGAAAGCCGCTGCGAGCCAGGAGCTGGGATTGCAGGCTCGAGCCAAGGAAAGAATTGCATGCACACCTCTCGCCCTCATCCCCCCCACACCCGTTCACTCCCTAATTCCCTTGGTTGGATCATCGACGTGGCAGCATCTGGCGGCTCTGTCTTCCCATGCAGAGGCCATCCGCTCCATGGTGCACGCAGTGAGGAGGCTGGCGTTCGAACTTGATGGTCGGCAGGCACAGGGGGGTAGAACGAAAGAGGAAGAAGAGGGGGGGAAGAATCAGCGGGAAGGGGAAAACGAGGAGGGTGAGGAGGAGGCGCGGGAGGAGGGGGCGAGAGACGAGGCGGAGGAAACGGTGCAAAAGATGGATGAGACGAGGGATGAGACGATGGGAGATGGGCTTGAGGTTTCAAAGAGTGAGACTCGGACGCAAGAGATTGAAGAAGAACGAGGGTTCGAGCAAGTGGAAGGAGGAAGTGACGAGGCACAGGACGAGCAAGCAAACGAAGTGGAGGGAGAGGCGGGGCTGGGTACAGGGTCAGAGCCAGGGGAAGAGCAAGGGGCAGAACAAGAGTCAGAGAAATGGGCAGAGCAAGGAGCAGAGCAATGGGCAGAGCAATGGGCAGGGGAGGGGCGAGCAGGCGATGTGGACAGAGAGTCAGTTGGACAAGCTGTTGCAGGGGAGGGAGCGGTGCAAGAGGAAGTTTTCGACAATCTTTCCATGGTGCAGGTGAGTGCTTCCATACTGCAGCGAGATGCGAAGGGCGATGGTGCAAGGGGCGAGTTTCTGGAAAGAATTATTATGTTTTGTTCCTTGTTGCTTAAGTGTTTCTTCCGGTTTGCTGACACTCCACTACGAGCCTGGAGCGATGGTGCAAGGGACAAGGTGCAAATGGGGGGACAATTGTGAGGAATTTGCGTGAAAGGGAGTTGGCGCGGTCATTACCTGGTGTGTGTTGAAGGTGGGAAAAGACAACATCGCCTTGCATGGCTGGGCCTGCATCGTCAGATTCAGTTCAAAGGACCTCCTCTGCGCACTTCTCAATTCGTACTCCCCCATCAATTGTTCCCATCCCAGTCTACCGCCCAAGACACTGTCCTTTGGTTGTCGCTTGCTCTGCTCCAATCCTCCCTCAATCTTCATATGGACCCATTTCATTGCTCTTCTTGTCTGCTTAACTTTGTCTCCTCCCTCTATCACCCACCCACTCTCACATTTCGACCCACGATTCCAACGCTCCCCGATTCTCCTCTCATCCACCTCTACCCAATCATGACTGCTTCTCCCTCTCGTATCTCGTTGTCCACATCTTCCCATGTCCCTCTTGTTCCCCATATACCCCACCCTTCCAGTGTTGCCCTCATCCTTGCCCTCCCCATTGTATTCCCCCTTTCCACTGCTGTCCTTGGTTTTCTCTCTCTTGCGCTTCTCTCATCCTCACATAATTCCATCTTACATTGCTCTTCCTTTCTGCTAAAAGGTTGCTACTTTCGCTGTTGCTCCTACTGCCAGTGCTCACCCCTTCATCCCAATCCTCCCCTAATCTCCTCCAATCCCTCTCCAGCCATTCAGCTGCTTCCCCCCTTCGCACTCACGTTTCTCCTCTCTTTTCAATCTTTCCCCCATGTTAACCCTCCCCGTTCCTCCTCTGTTCCACCTCAGCCTCTCATCTCGGTCGGCCACAGTGCGGGGAGCAGGGGGGCAGCAAGGGTGGATTCAGGGGGAGCGGTAACCGCTAATGTGGAGAGGCGTGCGCACATGGGAGGAGGGGAGGGCTGGATGGGGAGAGCAGGGGGAATGCATATGCAGGTGGGGTGGGGGCTCCAATGGCCAATGGGGAGGGGTCAGAAGTGGGCGGTGGGGAGGGGCCTCCCATGGCCGACGGGGGGTGGGCAGCAATGGGCGGTGGGGGGTGGGCAGCCATGGCTGATGGGGGATGGACAGCAATGGGCGGTGGGGAGTGGGTTCCTCTGGCCGGTGAGGAGGGGGAACCAGTTAAAGGTGGATGGGAGAGCAAGCGAAGCGGAGGTGATGGCACGGCTGCAGAGAAAGGTCAATGGCTTGCTGCTGCACGTCCCACCTGACAAGCAAGAAAAGGCTATCGAGAAAATCGACAGCGTGGTTCGCTGCCTTGCAAACCAAGACACCACTGTGAAAGAGCTCTCTCTCCCTCCCTACTCCCTCAGCTACTACCTCCTGCTTACTCCCCACTGCTACCCAGGCTTTCTACAATCCGTCTCAACCCTTGTTCTCAACAATCTTAGCAGGCAGCCTGAGATGGTCATGCCATCAGTCGCGAATCAGCTCCTCCGCCTCTCTTCCCTCACAGCACTTCACTTGCGCGAAACTTATATCGCTTCAAGCGCCCTGCCACTCTTCCAGTCCGCTACTCGGCTCCGACAACTCGTCATCGCCTGCTATTCGCCCTTTGACTTGCTTCCCAACCCACCAGCCAACCGTCAGCCCAACCTGCCCGCCCAGTCTGATCCCGCCAGCCCACTCCAGCGAGTACAGCCGTTTGCGGGGTTGAGGGAGCTGCATGTGAGCCGGGTGTCCGACTCTTTTCTGCAGCAGGTGGGCTTGCTGACGAGCCTTGAGGCTCTCTCCTGCACGAGCAGCAAAGGGGTGAGCTCCACAGGATGGATTCACCTCAAGCGACTGCTCAACCTGAAGAGACTGCAGCTGGCGCCAACTCTCCCCGTGAAAATCGACATTATTGGCGAAATGCGGAAGGTGGGATCCAACGACCACCCCAATGAGAACTCCTACCTGCACCATCACTTCGGGCCGAAGCTTAGCTTTTCCGGATCTCGCCTGCCAGAGATCACCAGAAGCTTCCAAAGGCCTGCCAAAAAAGGAACTGCAGCGGCAAGCGGAGATGGAGACCCTGACGGCAATCGCATCGATGGGAGCATATGGGAGGTGGTTGGTGCCCTCATCGGCTTGGAGCACCTGGAGCTGCACGCAGCAGAGCCCAGTGCGACCGCACTGCGATCCGTCTCCAGTATCAGGCGCCTCAAATCCCTCCGCATCACCAGCACGGCGCTTGATGCTTCTGATCTGCTGTGCTTGAGAACCCTCTCTCTTCTCACCGACCTCAGCCTGGCTGCTTGCACGTTTGCAGCAGACCAGTCTGTGAGGTCGGTGATTCAAGGCATGACGCAGCTACAATCGCTGGACCTCTCAGGGACGGCAATCAGCCAAGCAGCGGCTGTGCATCTGCAAGCGCTTGGGCAGCTGGAGCGGTTGAAGCTGCAGCAGATCAGTGGCATGAGCAAGCTGTTTGTGGAGCATGTCAGCCGTGTTCCTGCGCTGAGGGAGTTGGATCTGGGCTGCAACAACATGCAGCATGCTTGGCTGCTGCCGGTGCTGGAAGGGAAGAAAGTGACTCGGCTTGGGGTAAGTGGCTGTTGCTTCGTGGCGAAAACGGTGGAACGGCTTCAGCGGGCTTGGATTGAGATTGACGCCAGAACTTGGTGATTGATGTTGGAATGTATTGTACTTGTGGTTACTTATAGTGCTGCATATCGTGTGGTTACTTTTCCGCGAGAACAGCCTTCATTACAAGCAAGTCCATCATAATTACGCACATGGGGGGTGCTCACTGAAAATTTACAGGAAATTTTGCCCCCATAGTGTCTTATTCAGGGACCACAGGTATCGTACTCAGGTAGTGCCCCTGTAACACACAAGTCTGAGCATACAATCAATCAGGGTCCGTATAACAATAGAGCTCAATGGATCAGGAGGTTCATAAATCACAAGATATGGAAATTTGGGAGTGGGAGTGGTGGCTACTCGCCCACAAACGGATACGCTGCCATCACGTTAGTGCGTGTATGCGAACCTCGCACGCAGAGTCAAGATGGGTTCGTCCTGCACCTTGCATCGCCGTTACGTGCAAAAATCTGGCGGGAATAGTTCGACAAAAAACGATCGGTTCAGTGCGGTGCCACCGCACCGAAAGGAAGCCCTAGGGTTACCTGTTGAGAATCCGTGTCCTGTCCACTGATCCTCCTCACGCCTCTCTTTCACTTTGACTGACCTTGCTTCTTCACAGGTTTAGTAGCAGATAGGTTTAGCTTACACAATTAGTAGCAGACTTGGCGGGGTCAGCAGCCATTCATCTCTTCAGTTACTGTATTCTCTTTTCACAATGTCAGTCGGATCGCCAATTCATCGGCTACCTGCGGAGCTGCTCTCTCGGATATTTTATTTTCTGGTTCGACCTGATGGGCAATTGCAGCACGCACTTGTCTCCAAGCAATGGAATCGCGTCGCGTACCGCACGCAGTACGAGCTCCACTTGCGCAACAACCTCCAAATGGAGCCGCGTCGCTTCATTCACATTCTGTCTTCGTTCCCTAATCTCGAAAAGCTATTCCTTCACTCTGGCAGCCTCACCTCCACCACAGACTTTTTATTCTCGCACCTCGTTAGCACGTGTCAACAGTTGACCCAGCTTCGTGTCGAAACGATGTCACGTAGAACTGAGCGCGGAGATGTAACGGAGAAGAGCCTCGTTGTGCTGTTTGAAGGGTGTATGCGGCTGGAAGATCTGTATCTGTACTGCTCGGCGCGTGCTGCCATTCCCTCGTCGATCGATCGCCTTACTCTGCTCAAGCACCTGCACCTCGTAACAAGCGCCACGCGTCTTCCCGACACACTGACCTCGTTGCAGTCTCTCAAAACCCTCTCGCTGAACGCTTACAAGCTCGAGGCTTTGCCCTCAGATTTCGGCACTCTGATTTCTTTAACGTCGCTGGAGCTCCACCAATGCCGCTTGCCGTCACTTCCGAAATCTTTCGGGCGCTTAACCGCTCTGAACCGGCTTTCCTTAATGTACTGCTCGACGTTGCAGCTGCCAGCCTGTTTCACCGAGCTTTCTTCTCTCGCCGTCCTGGAGTTTTGACATGGCAGGCTTCTTCCATCGCCGCATGGTGATTTCGGTCAACTGGGGGCACTCGAAACCCTCAAACTGGTTGAAGTGAGGGGAATGCGCGACCTGGTTGCGGATCTGGAGCATTTTCAGCGGCTGAAGACGCTAACCATCACGCGCTGCAGTGATATCACATCTCTGCCCGTGTCTCTTCCCCGCCTGCCTGCTCTCACCGAACTCACCCTCGACATGGACCAGATCCCAGTGCTGCCCGAAGATTTCGGGCAGTTGTCAGTGCTTCGGACGCTCGTGCTGAAAATGAGGAGCCTCACAGCCTTACCCGATTCCATGGCCCTGCTTACCACTCTTCAAGAGCTTTCCCTTCATTATCTTCGAAGCCTGACATGTCTTCCCCAGGAGTTCGGGCAGCTGGGTTCCTTGGAGAAGCTGAGCCTGAAAGACCTTCAACAGCTTACACACCTGCCTGAGACATTCGGGCAGTTGCAGCTCTCCGGGAGCTGAAATTTCTGGAGTGTAGGCAGCTGCAGCAGCTCCCGGACTCCGTATCCCAGCTGTCTTGTCTCGAGCACCTGGAGTTTAGCATTTGCCCGCGCCTCACGGGGCTGCCTGTCGACCTGGGAAAGGGCATGCACGCCCTGCGTCATCTGCTTCTTCTGGACTGCACGGCTCTCTCCCGCCTCCCTCCATCCTTCTCCGGCCTGACGTCTCTCGAAACGCTCAAGATTCTACACGCGAAACGCTTCAGGGGCACGCTGCTAGACGGCTTTGGCAGCTTGAAGAGCCTCAAGGAGCTGTCAGTCGTTTCCCTGCCGCGCCTATCCGCCCTTCCGGCTTCCTTCTCAGGCGTTGAATCCCTCACCCGCCTGGAAGTCGGCAAGTGCCCTAATGTAACGGTTCTGCCAGAGGAAATCGGACGGCTGAGAGCGCTCGAGGAGGTCAGGATCTTTGGGATGGACGCCCTGAGATGTCTCCCTACGTCGCTTCTTGAGCTGCCCAGTCTGCGGGCGCTGGACGTGCGGGCATGTGATGCGCTAAGTGCGGTGCTAGAGGATGAGAAGGTGCACACACGTACTGCCAGAGGCGTTTCGGCCAGCGCCGGCAGCAGGAGCAGCAGGCGTGCTTTGCTTCCTTCCCTTGAGAGCCTCAAGATAAAAGAGCTCGGTGTTGAGTCCTTTGGTCCATCCCTTGGTCGTCTCTCTGCCTTGACGCAACTGAAGCTCTTGGAGATGGATGAACTGAAGTCCCTCCCTGACTCCATCTCTCGCCTCTCGCACCTGCAAATGCTCAAGATTCATTCGGCCTGATATTTGAAAGCACTGCCCGAGACCCTTGGGGGGCTCGCAGGGCTGCGTGTGTTGCAGCTGGTTTACCTCTACTCGATCCGTCAGCTGCCCGAATCTCTCGGGCAGCTGAAGATGCTGGAGACGCTGGATATTATCGACTGCTTCGAGCTGATGCAACTGCCCAAGTCATTCGTGAACCTACCCAAGCTACAATCGTGCTCTCTTGTCAAGGTTGCCGTTTCAACCATTCCGGATGATATCTGGAAGCTTTCTTCCCTCAAGAAGTTGCTAATCCTGGGGCTGAAGCGGTTGCGAAGCTTGCCAGGTTCGTTCACTCGGCTGCCTAAGCTTGAGGAGCTGGAGGTGTGTGCATGCAAGAAGCTGGCTCGATTGCCGCCGTCTCTCCAGAGGATGCCGACGTTGCGTGAATGCACCATCCGTGAATGCCCTTTGCTGTCACAGCGAGCCACGAGAGGGGTACCTGCGAGGAGAGAGGAGGGAGAGGAGGGGGAGGGGGAGGTGGGAGAGGGAGGTGATTCTGAAGAGGAAGAGGGGGAGGAGGGAGGCAATGGGGAGGAGATGGAGGAAGAGGAGAGTGATGGTGATGATGAGGATATTGAGCATGAACTTGTTTTGGACAGTGACTACGATGACGACATTAGTGGAGGCTATGGGGGGAGTAGTAGTGATGATGATGAGTAGGATAGCCAATCAGATGGCGAAATTGGTGCGGCGTGCTGGAAGTCGGGTATTGGGAAAGCAAGCATGTATTACCATTAGGCTTTCTGTTATGTGGGTATTGTCTATTGGGAGGTGATGCAATGTTGTAGGTAGGTAGCGCTTGTCGGAAGATGCATTGATGTTGGTTGGGGTACATATGGCAAACCCTAACTTCTGTACCCCCTAAGACAAACCTCACTACAGGCTACAACATTTGACACACCCCCATAGCCTAAGTGAGGGGTGTCTAACAAAAACAGCAGTGTACGGTCACAAGACCAGTCCAAAAGAAAACAAAGCTCAGGGTGGATCACAATGTCACCACACTCTCTGAGCACAAGCAACAGTGACCACAAGACCAGTCCGAGATATCACAAGTATGTATAGCAACAGTACCGTCAGCCCCCGGATAGAAGCGCCCCTGGGGTTATAAAAAAACACTGTTTTTTAGGGGGTGGGCTTATAATCGAGGATTTTTATAAGCGCCGGCGCTTATATAATGACAAAATAGGAATTAAGTTTGTTGTACACCGATTTGTAGATCTCGTTCTACCCAGTGTAATCGAGTCGAAACTACTATGGGGTCGCGAATCCGATTCTTCCGCAGCCTAGCAGGGATTCAATCCCTGCCAACACATGCTGACTAAGCGACAGCGCGTGCTGACTAGACGCGCAGCAAGAGAGGTGTGAGTGGGAAACCGAAATTGTGCTTCGTTACCCTGCTAGGGAGAAATTCGTTTCTCTATTTCGACAGATTTTCAAATAAGAAATCGACATGCGCTTATAATAAATCATGAATTTTTAGGGGGTGCGCTTATAATCGAGGACCGGATATAAGCGCCCTCATCCTTTTATAAGCGCCGGCGCTTATCCGAGGCCTGCGCTTCTATCCGGGGGCTTACGGTACAAGCAAAGCAGACAGTAAACATGTAAAATTTTTTAAGTTTCACTTTAAAAATTTGAGGATTGTGATTCGACTTGTAGAGGAGTTTGCAGTAAAGGAGACAACCTCCTTTACATTCCCGCAGGTCCACAGACCTGCCACCTAGTCTCATTAGCATTTTTCAAATCTTCATTTGCTTACCACCAGCACACCCCTAAACCCCTATGCCTAAAAATAGGCATAGGAGCACTCTCATCAACGACATGGTCAACGTAAGACTTTCTGCAATGGCTACTGGCTTTGTTTCCGCAGTAACCGGTCGCCCTCCCGCTCCAAGAATGGTTACGCGCAGCAGCGGCAGGCGTGGGTCCCCGCAAAGGGACGAGGATCGCGGGTCCTCCTCCCAGCGTGATCGTTCGCGATCTCCGCGTCGGAACAACGGAACCACGACTTTATCCGCATTGGAGCTGTTGAATGCGAGGCAACCCCCTGTTTTTGCTCCCGAAATGGTCGCCGACGGACCTGGTCGCAATGGCGGTAACGAGCGCGGGCCCCCCGGATTTCACGGCGAAGGGCGAATTTCGCGTGGAACCGTCGACCCGTCCGAGCCCGGCGAAAACGCCCCAGCTCGACAGGCTCCAACAGTGCAGGCGCAGGACCGCAATGATGGCGGTCCTGCACAAGCAGATCGCGAGAATCGCGAATCTGCACGTGCAGATCGCAATCCTCGCGATTCTGTTCGTGCAGATCGCGAGCGCGATTCTGCTCGGGCAAATCGCGAGCGGGATCCTGCACGTGGGCCGCGACAGAATCTGGACCCTGCACGAGCGGATCGCCGGCCCGATTCAGCAAATCGACGCGCGAATCAGGGCGAGCAGCAGGATCCGCGAAATCAGGCAGCGGGGATTTCGGAAATTGCCGAAATCATTGCTCGCCTTGACCCCGCGAGTCAGCACAACCTGCGGCGAATCTTCCCCGAAACAGCCGGCGACCGCGGTATAGCGAGATCCAGCGCTTCTACAGGACGCCGTGCAGCCGAGAATAACTCGGCGCGATATACCGACATAAACATTGGAGCGGCAGCGGATAATAATGATGCAATTCGCCACGCGATCGGCCTCCTCGCGGCGCTTCAACGCGGCAACAACGGAGATCCTGCAGCAGCGGCAGATCCTGTGCGCCCGGCAGCTCCAGCGGCACCTCGTTCCCGCGCTCCTCTCCCTCTTGATCCCGAGGGCGTCGACGACGGCGATCACACTAATTTCGAAAACCTCGACGAAGGTAATCCCGCTCGTCCTAAGGCCCCAGCACCACTTAATCTCGCTCCTATACCGCCTGCTCGCCCTCAGTTGCGCTCATCTCTCGTCAAAAGCGACGGCATTCGCACTCAATTATTTAGTTTCGAACGCATTCAAGCAATTGCACGTCATGCTTTTTCTATCCTACCGTCTCAAGGTGTTGAGCAACTTGCTGATTACCTTCAGCAAATCATTGATGAAGCTGAAGAAAAGATTCATTTCCTATTCACCGCGGATCAGCGCGGCTTCGAAGTAGCCAATATGGCTTTAAAGATTAAGTACGGCGAGGTGGTGGAGGACAAAAACGTTAAGGCCGCTACTCAGATCGTGGCGGCTAGCAAAAAGAGGCCGCACATGCCCGCCACCTCGACTCGCCCCAATCCCGCTCCTCGCAATCGAGGCCAAGGGGAACGCCATTGGACTTGGCGTAGGGATGGCGATGGGCGTTGCTTCTATTGTCGCGAGCCCGGCCACGGAATAGCCGATTGCCCGCAGCGGGGCCAAGGGGCTAACCAGCCTGCTAAGATTGTTTAGAATGGATGCCTGTTATATTTATTATCATAAAGGATTATTTGACATAATGTTACCAAAAAAAAAAAAAACCCGATCTTTACATAATGAGCTTGTTGCACCATGTTCCCCTCATATACGGGTGGGTATATTGCAGAACTTCAATTGGTTCCTCCGTTAAAAAAAAAATAATAATAAAAAAAAATAAAAAACACACACACACACACGCAACAAGAGCAACATGAATCTAAACAAGAGATATTTTAATAGAAACCATCGTAGTAGGCATTGCCTAGCACGCGAGCCTTTATTCTTCGGCTACGCTTTTGCGCCGCCGTGTCACTGCATTTTTTGTTACGATAACATCGTCTGGTATTGTCGTGCTTGACTCACTATCGTGGTCTTACTCGCATCCCTGTCCACGCCCCACCAGATTTTGGCTTTATACCCGACATGGACGAACCACATGCCACTGTGCAGCACATGCGGGGACGCTTGCGCGATCGATACACATGGTGGAATTCTTGGTGTACGAGTCGCTTCATCTTATCCGTCGTAGCATCAGGTTATCGGCTGCCGTGGCGATCAAACGAGCCTACCCCTCACCATGCATCGAACCACTCGGGCGCGTTGCAACACTTGACATTTGCAGTCGAGGCCGTGGCCGACCTAATTGCTACCGGAGCAGCTCGTCTCGTCCCTGTCGATGCGCCGCTCACATGCGTTAGCCCACTTAATGTGGTTGTCCAACCTTCGAAGAAACGACTCATATTAGACCTTCGTCATGTAAACTCGTTTCTCTCTATCCATCGATTCCGGTACGAAGGACTCAACAGGGTCCCCGATCTAGTGCGTCGAGATGACTGGTTGTTCACCGTCGACCTCAAGTCGGGTTATCACCACGTGGACATCCACCCGTCATTCTGGCGGTTCCTCGGTTTCTCACTGCTAGGCCAGCGCTACCAATTTCTCTCATTGCCATTTGGGCTCGCCACGGCACCATTCGTTTTCACACAATTAATAAAGCAACTGGCCAAGCGCTGGCGCAGCAACGGGATTCGGTTAATACCTTACGTCGACGACCTCTTGTTCATATGTGCTACAAGGGCCGAGGCGCTCCAAACCTGGTCCATTATCCTGAGTGACCTTGAGTCCGCCGGCTTTATTGTGAATATGAAGAAATCACAGCTCGAGCCATCACAACGGCTAAAATTCCTCGGCCTCATGTTGGACACCCGTACAACATCCTTTTCAGTCGATGCCACTCGCCGAGATCGTTTGTTTGAAGAACTTGAACAAATATGTCGGCTTAGCACGCAGGGGCGTCGCATCCCGGTTCGGCGCGCGGCTAGAGTCACTGGCATGCTAGCTTCTATGGCCATGGCACTTGGGACCATTGCTCGCGCCTTTTCCCATAACCTGATCTCACAAGTCAGTGCATGCCAGTCTTGGGGGGAATCCATACAGTTGACACCGGATTCAATCGACGAGTTGCGGTTCTGGTTGACTCAATTCGACGTTTTCAATGGCTCCGGTTTCCATAACCAGCACGTATATGACATCGTAATGTACGTGGACGCAAGCGATCATGCTTGGGGAAGCTGCTATTCCACGCCTGAGGGCAGGGTCGGCTCACATTCCTCGCCTTTTCCTCGTGCGCTATCGGTCGCCTCGAGCACGCTTCGTGAACTTGCCGGGATCCTCTGGGCATTGTCGACCTTCCGCACTGAGATCCAACGTTCACACGTCTTGCTACGCAGTGACAGCCAGGCAGCGTATTACATTTTAAAGAAAGGAGGCTCCCGCCATGCCGCGCTCACCCTCATTTGTCGCGCCATCATCACACTCTGCGTTCGTTACAAGATTCGACTCACGGCGCAGTGGATCCCCCGCGAGGTCAATTGTGAAGCCGACGCACTTTCAAAGATTGATCTCCATGATGATTATTCTCTCGCACGGACATGGTTTCGTGCACTCGAGGGCTCTTGGGGTCCACACACAATCGATCTATTTTCCTCATCGTCCAATTCGCAGTTGCCCCGATTCTGCTCCCTTGACCACGACCCGCATGCGGTTACCCAAGATGCGTTCGCTCTTAGCTGGGGTGGAGAAAATTGCTATGCTTTTCCTCCGCCGGCCTTGATCCCTGCCGTCCTCGCTCACGCTCGCCGTTCTCGGGCAACTGTAACTCTTGTGATCCCAGAATGGCCTAGCGCCTTTTGGTGGCCATTAGTGTGCCCCGATGGCTCTACATGGGCCCAGGATGTATGCGCAAGCATGTATCTCGCTCATGGTTCCGTATGTCTACGTGTCGGTAGCGATGCCCATGCCTTTAGTGGGGCTGGTCTTCCTCATTCACATATGTACGCTCTTCGTTTGGCATATACTAATATATAACTATGTACACATGCAGGTTCTTATATTGGACGCTTGCTGATGGATCTACTGACCCTCACAGTCGATCTGCGCGCTCAATCGACCATTCGCACATACGAACCCTACTGTGGCCAATATCGCACATTCTGTAACGAGCATTCGTTGTCGGCTCTCCCGGCCACCGACCTGACGACCGCCCTCTTTTTGTTGCACTCAGTACGCAGGGGTGCTACGGTTTCGTCCGTATGGTCCGCTTGCTCTGCGATTTCATGTGCCCATTGGTTGGTCGGCTGCCCATCTCCTATTCGAGGACCGCTCTCCTCGCAAGTAAAGGAATACGCACAGCGCCACTGTGGCCAACCTTCACGAGCAAAGGACCCGATACCTCCAGCTAAGATATACGACATATGCGATCTCTATTTTTCGTCGACTGATCCTGCCACGTTTCAGCGTGGTCTCATCCCTCTTCTCATGTTTGCAGCCTTCCTGCGCTTCTCCGACCTGATCGCCCTTCAATGGCATCAAATCGAATTCGACCGTGACTGCATGTGGTTGTTCATTCCGCGTTCAAAAACGGATCAGGCCGGCTCAGGCGCTTGGGTCCCAGTAGCCGCCTCTTCCGCTTGGCACTGCCCAGTCACCCGCGTACAACAATATCTCTTCCTTGCAGGCTTCTCTGCACAGACATTAGGCGCTCTCATTCGGGTTTTTTCACCCGCTGCACAGGCTTCGCCCTCTGACCGTTCCCCATCCTACGCTACAGTTCGGGCCTGCTGCCGCGAGGCATTTTCTCGTGTCGGCCTCAACCCGAATCTACTTGGTACACATTCTTTCCGCAAGTCTGCCGCCACAGTGGCCGTCGACGTTGGCGTGCCAGACCGCCTCTTCAAGGCCCTCGGCCGGTGGCGTAGCGACAAGGCTAGAGAGTTGTACGTAACCCAGCTCGATCGCGAGCTAGTGGCGGCATCGCGTACCCTCCAGGATCCATCGCGACCCAGCGCGACTCATCGTTATGCCTCCACCCTTGCACGCCATCGTCATTCGCCGCCTACTTGATGTCTCGTTCACCTATGACGACTGCACTGCACACTCCTCATAGAGTCGTGTCACAATATGTAAAATTTTATAAGTTTCACTTTAAAAATTTGAGGATTGTGATTCGACTTGTAGAGGAGTTTGCAGTAAAGGAGACAACCTCCTTTACATTCCCGCAGGTCCACAGACCTGCCACCTAGTCTCATTAGCATTTTTCAAATCTTCATTTGCTTCCCTCCCACCCTCTCCCTACTTCAAACTTCAGTTTATATTCGCTTATCATGTTAGGATATTATTTGTAATTGGCCATGCGAGTGTGCTGTATAAAACGAGATTTGTAATGCTATGACGACTGCACTGCTGACGACTGCACTGCACACTCCTCGTAGAGTCGTGTCACAATTCAAGCCTACACACGACTAGAACCTGTGTCAACAAGGCCTAACTGCACACAACACCTCTGGTGGTCACAAGGCGGAAGCGCCTTGGTGAAGACGTCTGCAGTGTTGGCCTCGGACTCCACAAACTCGAAGCGAGCCTGTCCACGTCTCTGCAACTCTCGCAGAAGAAAGTACCTGACGTGAATGTGCTTCACTCTGCTCTCCAGTCGCGGCTCTCGACAAAGGAGAATCGATGCCTTGTTGTCAGTGAACAAGGTCGGTGCAGAGCTCGGCCACTCACCAAGGTCGGCGAGCAAGAACGTCAACCAACGCAACTCCTGTGCCGCCATGGCACCAGCGTAGATCTCAGCCTCAGCTGTAGAGGTCGAGACCGAAGAGGAGCGCGTGGAACGCCAGGAAACAGCTCCAGAACCCAGACTGAAACAGTACCCCTGAGTAGACCTGTGAGTCTCAGCGTCGTCAGCGTAAGAGGAGTCACAGTGACCAGTGAGTACGACAGACTGCTGCCCTCCAAGAACTAGCCCCACGCCTGATGTAGTCGCTAGGTACTTCGCCACCCTCACAGCTGCCGTCCAGTGAACAGGACGGTGTCTCCCTGGCGCAACAAAGCGCGCAAGGATGCTGAGAGGGAAGGCGAGGCCCGGGCGTGTACAAGTCATCAGGTACATGAGGCAACCCACCAGCTCTGCGTAGGGACCACTAGGCTCAAACGGCTCGTCAGGAAAAGGACCAGTGAGTCTGTGGTCAACAGCGAGAGGTGTGCGCTGTACTGTGGAGTGCTGAAGCCCGAACCGCTGAAGGACCTGCTGCACCATGTGTGACTGTGAGAGTGTAATGGTGCGAGCGGCTCTGTCCCTGGTGATCTGCAGGCCAAGGTAGTGGCGCAGCTCACCAAGGTCAGTGCACGTGTGTCTCTTCTGCAGTTCGGACTTCACGTCTGCCAAAGCAACCCTGTCAGGAGTGGCGAAAACGAGGTCGTCGACGTAGACCAGAACAAAGAACGGTGTGGAACCACGACGAACGAACAGCGACGGGTCGGCAGAAGACGGCTGGAACCCAAGGTCAGAGAGGGTAGAACGCAGAGTGTCGTGCCACTCACGAGGAGCCTGACGGAGACCGTAGACCGGTCGCCTCAGTCTCCACTGGGTCCCAGGAGGGAAGGTGCCAGTGAAGGCAGAGGGACGACACAGCCAGACCTCCTCGTGTAGGCTGCCCTGAAGGAAAGCAGTGGAGAAGTCAAGAGAGTGTAACTCGTAGTCTCTCTGTGCTGCTACGTGTAGTAACACCCGAAGAGTGGTCATCTTCGGGGTAGGCGCGAAGGTCTGAAAGAAGTCAACTCCCTCGCGCTGACTGAAACCTCTAGCCACGTAGCGCGCCTTGAAGACCGGGGGAGATCCCGGTGGCCGCTTCACCCTGTAGATCCACATGCCGTCGACTACGTTCGCCCCAGGGGGGGGAACCTCATCGACGTAGGTGCCTGTGGATCTGTAGGAGGCCATCTCTGCGTCCATGGCAGCTCTCCACTGAGAGGCCCAAGGCCCTGACACTGCCTCAGCGTAAGTGCGAGGAGTCGGAATGTCAAGGGCGTCGGGGTCACCCTCAGGGGCGAGGAGCATGGCACAGAGATGAGGGGAAGCGGCTGCCAGGAACTCTAGCTCGAACTGCCTGTCCTCTAGGGCGTCACAGCCAAGGGCAGACACACCCCCGACGGCCAGAGGACTGGTAGGAGGAGCAGCCACAAGAGTGGTGGCGTAGTCAAGGCGGCGAGTAGAGGCAAAGTCAGTGACTGCGGCAGTAAGAGCGGAGACAGAGGACACAGAGGCACGAGGGTGAGTAACAAGAGAGGCGAGAACACGAGAGAGAACAGGATGGTACGTGCGGTAGTAGTCAGTGACAGGAGTAGGGAGCGACGCAGTGAGGGCGGACTCAGGAGGAGACGGAAGTACAGAGGGAGACTGACGAGGTGGACTAGAACGAAGTAAGGCAGTACGAAGGTCAGTGAAGGGAACAGGAGACGAGGGACGAGCACGAGGAGAGCGACGAGAGGCCCAAGTCTGAGAAGAAGGAGGGGACAACGAAGACTGAGAACGAGGGAAAACAGCGGGAGAGGGGTCAGGAGGAGGAAGCGGAGGACCAGAGACGGGAGGAGAGGGGGAGGAGGAAGGAGAGCGAGAGGGGAGACCAAGGGTCCGAAGACCCGAGACAGGAGGAGGAGGCGACTGCTGCGGCTGCTGCTGCTGCTGCTGCTCCTGCTGCTGCTGCTGTCGCTCCTGCTCCTCGAGCCGCTGCAACTCTCGCTCCTCTCTCTCCAACTCCAGCTGCTCCTCACGAGCACGGCGAACACGAGCCTGGAACCTGGTCGGGTAGGGGTGGGGGGTAGTAGTAGTGTCCGGGGCAGCGGCAGCCCCAGAGTCCACCTCCGAAGCACCAGGCGCACCACCCCCAGAGTCAGCACCAACACCAGCTCCAGACCCAGGCTCACCAGAAACCGAAGGGGGGTCACCCTCACCCCCAGACTCCTCACGACGAGCACCAGCTCCCGGAAGAACAGAGTCCTCTGCACCCACCGGCTCAGCTCCAACTCCAGCACCCCCAGAACCAGAAACCGGTACAGGAACAGACTCAGCACCAACCCCTCGAGAGCTAGCACCTGCAGGGTCCTCTCCACAAGCACCGGCTCCCGCAGAATCTGCAGCACGCTGCGAGGAAGACTGTGGGGAGGGGGGCTGGACCTGAGGGGCTACCGAAGGGGGAGGGGTAGCCTGGGACACACCTGACGGGGCTGGACCAGGGGGGGAGGCTGTACCGGGGGAGCAGGAGGGGGAGCGGAAGTCAGGAAGAGAGGGGGAGGAGGAACCGGGAGACCTCGACTGGGGTACCTGACGTAGTAGGGGGTGGACTCCTCGAAACGGACGTCACGGGAGTCAAAGAACCGGTGAGAGGGAGGGTGGTAAAAGGTGAAGTCAGAGGAGTCCTCAGGGAAACCAAGGAAGACACAAGGAACGGCGCGAGGCGAGAGCTTGTCCGCGGAGGTGTCGCGGACAAGAGCCAAGCACCCCCAGACACGAAACCTCGACGCAACACCAGGGGACCCGGTCCAAAGACTGGTCGGTGAAGCCTCTGGCCGAGAGACACGTGGCCAGAGGTTCAGCTGGTGCGCGGCGTACCTGACCGCGTAGGGCCACAGAAAATGGGGGGCACGGGCGTGAGTCAGGGAGGTGCGGGCGATCTCCATGACTAGGCCTATGCAGCGCTCAGCAACCCCATTCTGCTGTGGGGACTCTAGAAGCGTCCAGGACTGACGAATGCCCCGCTTGCGACAGAATCCAGCGAGAATGCCGGAGCGAAACTCACCCCCGCGGTCGGAGTGGAGACAGCTGACACGACGACCACGAGTGTCCGCGGTGGTGAGCAACCACCTGATCAGCGTAGAAGTCACCTCAGACTTCTTCGCCAGGGGGAACACTGTGGTGTAGCGAGAGTAGTCGTCAACGACCACCAGAAAGAAACGCTCACGCTCAGGGCCAAGGCGAGAGGCGGGGCCCCAGACGTCCAAGTGGAGCGTCTCAAAAGGCTCGGTGGCCGGACGAAGGGAGGAGGAGTGAGGGGTGGCGCGCAGCCGACCCTCGACGCAGGGACCGCACGGTGGTGCAAGCGAAGGCGGCAGCGACGGCAAGACACGCGGGAGACCTAAGACAAGACGCTGACGAGACATATCGCGCAAACGAGGGAGGGACGGGTGCCCCATCCGGTGGTGCCACAGAACGGTGGGGTGGGCAAGCGACCGGCAGGAGCACGACGCAGCAACTGGAGCAGACGGAGGAACCTGACAAGACACAGCTACCTGGGGGGACGGAGCAACCTGGTGAGACGCGGGGACTCGAACAGTGGGGGGAACAGGGGGCAGTGGCAGTAGGGGCGGCTGCTGCTGCGACTGCCGCTGCGGCTGCAGCTGCGGCTGCTGCTGCTGCTGCTGCTGTTGCTGCGGCTGCTGCGGCTGCTGCGGCTGCTGCTGCGTACGCGAGTCAGTGTGAAGAGTGTAGAGACCTGAGGCCGGTTCAGCAGCAAAGGTGGCCAGAGGCTGGTAAGAGTCCCCGTCAACACACACCGCAGTCTCTCCAGAAGGCTCAAACCACACACCCACGTGCTGACTCACGAGGGGTCGCACGCCAACCAAGTTCCGGGAGAACGAGGGGACGTGAAACCCAGTGAGAGACCCGGAGGGAGCAGCAGGACACGGCAAGGTGGTAGTGTGACGCGCAGTGACTGGTCCCGAAGTGGGATCAGCCAACGCCACAGAAACAGGTGCAGGAAGTGGTGTAAGTGTCGTGCTGTCACGAAAGAAGCAGTGTGAGGCTCCAGAGTCCAGCGTGAACGACAGCGAAGCGTCCTCCGAGGTAGTCGCTGGTATAGAGTCTACACAAGAGCCTACACTAGCAACAGGCAACTGAGCAAGACTAGCACCTAAGCTAACAACACCAGAGTAAACAGAGTCAGAAGCACTAGAGTCAACAACAGCATACATAGCATGAGGAGCACCAATCAGATCAACTAGACATCTGACATGCCCCACAGAGCGGAGCCGTAGCGCTGAACCAGAGGAAGCCAGTCAAGGGCAGGACCGCCAACCCCGTAGACCAAACGAACCGTGTCAGTGAGCTGAGCAAAGCACTGACCAGGGGGGTGAAAGCGGCCACAAGGGTGGCCCCGGCGAGCACCTGTCAGAACCTGATAGGTGCAGGGAGGGTAGGTCGCACCACGCTGGGGCTGACACAGACCCGACCCCGGAGCCAGCTGCTGCCGCTGCTGCAGCTAAGGCTGCTGGGAGGAGAGGGGCTGCAGCTGCTACTGAAGCTGCTGCTGACGCTGAGCCTGGTACCACGCCGCTGCTCCACCTAGCGGGGCCGGCAGTACAGGAGGCGACTGACGAGCTCGGGTGTCGCCACCACCAGCAGGCGCAGTGGAGTCACCAGCCGCTGCACGAGAGGTCTCTCCAGACGCTGCACTCCCACCACCGCCAGTCGCAACAGCACCCCCACTACCTCCGCTACCTCCGCCTCCACCTCCACCAGAACCACCTTTCTTGCCCCCCCTGCCGCGGGACCGCGACGCAGTCGTAACAGCAGCTGCAGTCGCGTCAGTAGCGGCAGTGGCGAGAGAGGCAGTGAAGGTGGGTAACTGCGGGACTGTGCACCCGTGGAAGAGTGGGGGGGGCACAGCACCAGAGGCGGCAGCTACCGAGCGAAGGTTGCTCTCGACGTCCTTGAGCGCAGACTCAAGGACCTCGACTGTCAGCTCACTAGGGTGCTTCAGCAGGAGCGCGTCACGAACGGAGGCAAGGCGGTCAGGGAGGCTAGTGGCGATGAAATAGATAGTAATCGCCATGGGGGGAGGAAGCAGTGCAAGCTGTGCCTCAGTGCAAGCAGCGCGGTAACTAGCGTCGAGCGAGCGGAGGTGAGCGATCAAGTCAGCAGAGCGCTCAAACGAGGCAGCCACAACTTGCTAATGCCATTCTGCTTTACTGCGTGCAAAACTACTTTCAGTTGTTCTCAGTTGCACTTCACTTAACAAATTATCAAACTGTAGAGAATGAAATAAAGGATCCCGTTTGACCTTGCTTACACTGTCCTAAGCCATGCTCTTCGTGTGATATCACATGTACTTCCTACCGATTATTCTCTTTTGTTGTGCCTTGCCATCCTCCGACTTGTTACAGAAGCCCTGTGTTTCTTTGGAATGACTCTCGTTATAACCCATGTGCATTACTTTCAGGTTTCTCCACAACAACTACTTCTATGGAAAGTTTCCATCCTGTCTCTTTGAATACTGTCTTCACCGCATGTGAGTAGTGAGCAGAATAGTCGACCCATGAATCCTTCTTGTGGTTGTCATTTACACAGTTGCTCAGGTGGCAGTAGGCGCAGGAAGAATGAACATCAGAGGATGCCCAAAAAAGTTTCTCAAGACCCGATGCTCACGCCAACTTGACCTTTCTCGCTGGCATTTTCACCCCGTTCCACTCCACCCCTCCAGTGACATCAGCAACAACAGCTTCTACGGCCCCATCAACAGCAACTTCCGCAGCATGATTCCTGACAATGGCGCTCTGCTCAACATCGCAGGCAACTTCTTCTACGGCGACCCCATGCTCTACGCCGATGGCTGCCAGTTCTGCCCTTCCAACATTACCCAGTCTCATCTCTTGGGCTTAGGTGAACTCAACTTTCCGGGGCAAAGTCGCTGTGCACTCTCTTTCATGGAAGGTTACATAACAGACATAGCCCAATCAGCAAACAAGCGCGGCGAGGCGAGCCTTCAGCAGAACTGTTTCACGCTGAACAAGCAGATGGAGTGCACGGCGAACGAGACGCAGCGCAGCAGCGACGAGTGCCTGGCATTCTGCAGCATGTCGCGGGAGCTGGGGCCGTGCGACGGGCACGGAGCGTGTGTGCCGCCGCAGGCGGGGGCAGCAGAGGCGCGCTTCACGTGTGAGTGCGACGACGGCTTCGTCCCCACCAACGGCACCCGCGGCTCCACCTGCGCCCGCCCTGCTCCGCCGCCTGCTGCAGGTATCCTCTGTGATGGGCCATTCTTCTATGCGCGCGCGCATGTGTGTGTGTGTGTGTGTGTGTGTGTGCGTGCGTGCGTGCGTGCGTGTGGGTTGTTGTTGTGCGTGCTTGCTTGTTCATGCATGTGTGCGTGGGTGTGGGTGCGTGTGTCCATGCATGCGTGAGTGCGTGTGTACGTTGTGCATGCTTGAGTGTGAGTGCGTTCATGCATGCATGCGGCGAGCATCCATGAGTGCGTACTCTATTGAGGAAAATAGCTATCTTGAATAATCTTGCATATTGTGGATCCTTGATTGATTTTATTCCCAATAAGCTTGGGAACAAAAGGTTGGAAAATAGGTCAAGGTTGTGGCATTTGTGAAGAGTTGTAATTGATGGACTGTAAGCTGACTAAGAATTCTCCACAAACCTCTCTGTCATCCCTCCCCATCCGCCCTCCTCTCTCCAGCGCTCTCCACGGGTGCAGTGGTGGGCATCGCTGTGGGCTCTGCTGCTGCCTTTGCTCTCCTCCTCGCTCTCGTTGCCGCGCTGCTCTGGCCCCGCCAACGCCGTGAGCCTCTTCCCCTTCTCCCCACTTTTTGAGACTCCAACCGTCGGTGGAAATTGGATCCGGTTTTTTTTACGCGAAGTCAAGCAGAAACAAAATTCAACAAAAATTGGCACAGGGTTTTTGTGATGCAGACTCTACTGCAGTTATAGCAGCGAGCTGTATACTTGTTTGTCTGCAGCACACTTGCTTGTGTGCAGCAGTGCACTTAGTTGTGTGCAGCCGTGGGTGTTGTGTGTTGATGAGCATACTGGCATGCTGTGCGGTGTGGGCATGGCAGGGCGGTGGAGCGACCTGGACGTGTGTCAGGAGTTCAGCATTGGTGAGATTCTGCGGGTGACAGACAACTGGGCGAGCAGCAATGTGTTGGGGAAGGGCGGCTTTGCCACCGTCTACAAGGGCGTCTCCTCCAAGGGCGAGCTGTGGGCTGTCAAGCGCATCGCACTCATGTACAACGACTTCCAGACCGAGGTGGGGGGCAGAGTCTCTTGCTCCCAGACTGGCTGGTCATGCTCGCTCATGTTACGATTGGCCTGCTTGCTCCTCCCCTTCATGTTTCCATCGAACCCCTCCCGCTGTCCGTTGCGGGTGGTGATGATGGTTTTCTTGCATGAGCTCTCTTCTCCACACGTGCCTTCCCCCCACTCGCAGTGTAGGCTATGGCGTCGCTGCGGCATGGAATGTTCAATCAAGCTTACTCTTCTTGCCTCTGGCAGGTGCGGGCGATGGCATCTCTGCGGCATGAGAACGTGGTGCGCCTGTTGGGCTTCTGCCTGCATCAGAACGTGGAGAGCGGCCAGCAGGAGCAGATCCTCGTCTACGAGTTCGTGCCCAATGGGGACCTCAAGTACCACATCCATGACTCCAAGAGTAAGCCTTGTGAAGAAGAGAAATTCAAGTGAGCCCAACGGGGACCTCAAGTACCACATCCCTGACTCTAAGAGTACGCTCCCCTGCTTGACTTGACCATGTTTTGCTATAACTGCACCTTTGTAACACGCTCTATCCAATATATCCTTTGTTCCTCTATCTGGACTCTCTTATCTCTTTCTTTCCCCTCCCTTTTCCCCCTCTTTCCCTCCACCAGCGCCCCTGACCCTGAAGCAGCGGCTGCATCTGGCGGTGGGGGCGGCGGAGGGAGTGGCATATCTGCACAGCTTCGCGACGCCCATCGTGCACCGCGACCTCAAGCCCGGCAACATCCTGGTGGGCGAGCACAACCAGGCCAAGATCGCTGACTTTGGGCTGCTCAAGATGCTCAGCCATGTCGACGGCGGTGACGACCGCACTCGAGTGGCCGGCACCCCCAGCTACCTCGACCCCGACTACAACCGCACGCAAGTCGTCTCCGAGAAGAGCGACGTCTACAGGTGCGATGCCTACAAGTGCCCGCGTCCTTTTTTACTACGTTCGCACCCTTTTAATGTTGGCTTGTGAAATGTGTGATTGCCAGTCATGCAAGCAGTGGTGCAGGTCAAATTCTCGCCTTCTTTTTTCGCCTATTATTGTCTCACGAGGGAAATGAAATGTAATGGGTTTCAAATAAGCGATGGATCACAAAACCAATCACATGACAACTTCACTGTCCCTCCCAATTCCTCATGTGCTCTCGACCCTTCTTTCCCACGATCGTTGGAGCAGCTTTGGCGTGGTGCTGCTGGAGCTGCTGATAAGGCAGAAGGCAGCCGTGGAGGGCACTGACAACCACATCAGTGACTGGGTGAGTGCATGCATGCATGCGTAGAGTGGTGAGCAGTCATAATGACCTCCATGAGTTGTTTAGGCTAATTGAGCAGCCTTGTGCAATCTGCAAGTGCGCCAGCTGGGCCATTTCACAATCCTACCTTGTGCTCTTCGCCCTTCCCCCCTCCTAGGCGGCCCGCAAGGTGCAGGTGTATGAGTTGGGCGAGCTGAAGGACGCGGGGCTGGAGGCGCCGGACGAGGCGGTGGTGGAGCTAGCAGACATCGCACTGGACTGCCTCAAGATGCCCGCCTCGCGCCGCCCCCCCATGAAGGACGTCGCCCGCCGCCTCCACAACCTCCTCTCGCAGTACTGCGGTGACGATGGCGACGACGCCTCCTCCCTTGTTGAGCCTAGCTTGAGGATGCAAGGAGGGGGTGCGAAGGGAGACGGCGGCAGCAGCACGGACACATTTGGGAGGAGCGAGTGGTCGGAGGGAACGAGCGGAACGTCTGCTTCCAGGAGCCTCATCCATTCGCTGTCGGAGAAGTGGCGGATGATTGAGTAGGACAGACGGTAGGAAAGGAAGTGTCGTGATTGCTTGTGCATACCAAATTCTTTGAAGGCTCTGAAGATGGGTTGGACTTGGTTCACTTCTGGTTCTCTGAAGTGCTTGGACTTGGGTTGACAACAGTGACTATGGTGATGCACATTGCGCACTCTAAAACGGTTTTTTTTCCAATTTTGACCGTTACCGACCAGTAAAAACGGTGATGCACCGACTATGACGAGCCAGGTTTCACCTGCCCTAACAAATCAAAAGCAGAATAATCAGGGAGCTCAGGTTGGTTTAGACTAGGCGCATTGGGGGCATGTGCGCAAGCGACAGCGTCGCGCTGCAGCGGTGGCCTCAGGGGTTTGTGGCAGTGGAGCAGCGGGCTAGGGCGGTATACAACATTTGCAGGCATTGGCGGCTGCTGGCGAACGGGGGCAGGCGGCAAGCATGCTGGCGAAGCTGATGGCGGCGGCTTACTGGCACGCTGTTGGCGATAGCGCGTTGGTGCACTGGTGGGGCCTAGGGTGGGGCGCTGCGGGCCTATGGTGGGCGACGGTATTGGGGTGGGGCGGGACGGGCCTAGGCGGGGCACTCGATGGGGCTCTCAATCGAGCATGAGGGGCAGCGGAGCAGGGGCGGGCTAGGGTAGGTAAAGTGGAAGCGATGACCTAACCCACTCATGATACCATGTCAAGAATGAAGAATGACTAATGTGAGGGCATACAGGTTCATAAGGGCGTGTCCAGCGCGTACGTTTACGGTTCGTTTACACTTCACGCAAAACGATATCAAAAGGTTCAATGCGTTTTGCAGATTCCACTGTTTTGAACCGTGACGCAACAAGGTCAACCGCACAGGATGAAGGGTGAACGTACACGCTGGACCCCGAATAAAAAACAAACAGTATATGCAATAACATAGCTTGACACATACCGTAATCCGGTCCTACATCACAAAAATGTAGCGGGCGTTTTGACTGGTAAACACCCTTCTATGCCTCGTTGGTGTTGTGTAGACTACGATTTACTTTGAGCGCAATAAACCACCAAGGGCATTGCCCTTCGTGATTCAAAAATGGAAGGGTAATCCTTGTTGTCAAACACGCACTTGTCTTGATTGTTGATATGCTGAAAAACCTTATATCATTTGCTTCGGGGGTGAACGGGTTTTGGGCGGTATCATGGCCATTCGAAGTCGGTTGAGATGGTTGGGAAGATGTTCCCGCATCGTCATTCCTCGATGTCTGGCGACCTTGCTCCATAATGGTGATTCGCTGAAGCAGTTGTTTGAGTGCGCCTTTGCTTATTGGCATCGTCGCCTCATTTGTCGCAGCCAGGTTGGGTTGCGCTTCTGCTGTCAGTTTTGTTGACCACCAGATCCTCGAGCCATTTTACGCACGAGCGTGTGCCGGATGCCACCTTAATTCGCGAAAGATTTTGAGGGTGGTAATGCGAAGGATTCATGAATCGCTCTCATACCATGTTGTACTTAAAAAAAAAAAAAAAAAAGATTGTCCCTATGATTACCTAAGGAAGGTTCGCAGAACGTGTTGTTGCTGCGGAAGGTTAACCTACGTCAGAAAATGATTGAAATGATGAAAAACATGCAAATACATCCTTATAAAGAGTACAGAGGAATATGAATGACATGAACTAGCGATATACTTTAAGGTTTACATACGCATTTTACTGTAACTGTTCAGGATTTTTTACTTGTCTCTTGATCTCCTTTCCTTTCATCACGATTTTCCTGCCTGGCTGGACATACACGAGTTCACGAATCTTTGGTGGTGTTCGCCAACACATTTCTAAGCAAAAACGAGGGGATGATGACAGAATTAGGAAGGTAAGTCCCGCCGTCCTGATCCCGTCAATTAGGGTTCGTTAACCTCCGTCAGCCTGGCCAGCCCGTAAAATTGCTGCCGAGCCTCTTATGCCGTCCGAACCTCTTAGAAAAGTGAGGGCGAGGCGAACGCCCCCTATTTTCACCCATTTCGAAATGCTTGACCGCATATGGAAACGAGGTCGCAGTTTCCTCCCCTGGAAAAAAACATCCCCCTGCGATGCCATCGCCGTTCACCTATGCACGGTGAATGGCGATGGCATGGCTGTGGCATTGCACGGCAGAGGGGAACTGCGGAAGGTGGGGCTAGGGGTTCCATACACGGTTGCGAATATTCCCGTTTTGGGAATCGAAGTTTCGCGGACCGCATTACGCCCAGACCTCTTGGCCGGGTTCCGCCCCCGGTTCCTGATGTGGTCACCTTGCCGATGCTGTCAAAATGCCATCTATTTTCGAATGTGCTGGTGAACACCGTCTTTGTTTTCCGGGTAGCCAGGTCCACGGCGAGCTGCGTCGGCTGGTCAAGTCAAGTCTCGAAAAGCTGGGTCAACCAGATCTCCACCCAGATGCATCATTCGGTTCAGAGCCGAGTCAGCCAGGTCCGCAAACAGCTGCATCATTTGGTTCAGAGCTGAGTCAGCCAGGTCCGGAGCAGCTGCACAGGGCAGCGCGCGCGGTCTCAAATTCGCCCCATGATTTTGCCCCAGGGGAAAAGAGTTTCTCACAGCCTCACACACCCACAAGGGCGGCTGTCATTTCACAGCGCTTGTTTCTCTTTTATGTGCATCGGCCATCTTGCTTGCCCTGCCATGATCTTCGCTCGCCCTTACTGTTAAGAAAAGCAGGCAGAAGTTAGAATAGAAAAGACGGGTTTTACTAGCAAGCAATGGGATACATGTAGCAAACCCTAGTTTGGGTTGTACTCACTATAGAGTACCCCACTGCAGACTAGACAAATATCACATTCTGACACACCCCCATAGGCAAAGTGGGGTATAAACAGCACAACAAACAGTCGCATAAGAAGTTCACAAGCACAAGCAGAGCTAGAGGCAGTCACAGATGGCAAGTGGGAGGAAGATGGACTGTGAGAGGAGAGAAGATTGGAGGCGGTGGCTGAAGCTGCTGGCACATGGGTTATTAGAGCAACTGGCACACCGGCTATCGGAGCAAGGGCACAACCTTCCCGGACTACTGGAGTAACTGGCTCCGCGGCTACGACGAGCGGCTGGAGCTACGGACCCATGGGCAACGGGCTCACTAGCTACCGGAGCAAGGACACGACCTTCCCGGACTACTGGCGCTGCTGGCTCCACAACGGCTACCTCCGTTCAACCCTCCCCCACTGTCGCAGACCCCCTTTCACATACCCCCCTATGCACCCCCTGCTCTACTCCCACGGCACCCTCTAGCGCCACTCCCTCGGCTCCCACACACCCACCCCCCTCAGCGGCAGCTGCAGCAGTGGGAGAGAGAAGAGGAGGAAGTGCAAGGGACGACGCACACCCGCCACCCCCATGTCAACGGGAGTTGTGTATTGGCCCCGTCCTCGCTTGGGCGGAGCCGACTTCATGGTCGGGTGTAGGGGTGCAGCCGACCTGCAGTAGTGGGCGAGCTGGTCGACGGGGTTGGTCGACCTGCACGGGGAGCCACTGCATGGGCGCCGACTTCGGGAGGGCACGCGAAGGCACGCGAAGGTCGCCCAGGCGATGTTGGCGAGGACGACCTCGGTAGTGGTATCCCGAGGTCGACGTGGCTGATCAGAAGCAGTCGTCAGCACGAAGTTGACTTGGTGTGTGTGATGTGCAAGTGACGAGGCACTTCACGCCAATCATCTGAGAGCACCTGCGAAGCCTGTGCGATGCTGTACTGCGGGAGCAACGCTGGCACGCCGTCGACTTGCACGGTTGTCACGCCGTCGACCTGCAGCGTTGGCAAGCCGCGTCTCTGCACTGCTGGAGCGCGGTCGACCAAGTCGTGCTGGCACGCGGTCGACCATGCTGCGCTGGCAGTCGATCTGCTTGCATCCTAGCTCTGATGTAGTCTAGCCTTGCCAACTTCATTGTATCATTGTTGTCAACTTTCTCTAGTGAAACTCTTGCCAATTTGCCCCATGAACAAGCAAGCAGTGTGTGCACTAGGAAAACGACTAAGGACCAACAAACGCAGAGATCACACGAGCACCCGTGCCTAGCCCGTAGTCTAGCTCCCGTTGCTAAAGTTATCTCCGCATGGTGTGGTGAGCGTTGACAGCACACGACTTACCTTTCAGTCTAGTCGACTTAGTTGCACCTTACCTAAGTTGTTCGTAGGCCGGCAGCTGTGCGGTAGTCACCATGGTAGGCGCCGTAGGTGACACGGGGGTGGTGGACACCCTAGAGGCACGGCTTGAGAACACGAGGAGACGCCATGAGGCTAACGAGTATGGCGACCTGCCTTGGGCGGTCGTCGAGGCTGGCATCCGTTCCGTGTGGGCGACGGAGCATCCTTCTCGGCCTGCATCTCCTCGACCGGTGAACACCGAGGGCGGCGTCGACGTGGGCGTCAACGCCGGTGGTGACCAAGTCGGCAGCAGTGCGGGAGGCATGTCGTCGAGGCAGCGTGGTGTGATTCACGCCGATGAAGTCAACGGCGTTCAGACGCAAGGGATGCGGTCGTCGGCGGCTGCAGGCTCCTTGCAGGGTGACGTCGGAGGTCGACGATTTGCTGATGTCGGCGACCCAGGTGACAGCAGGCGGGATTGCACCGAGCTACGGCTACTTCAAGTTTACGCCGGATAGGATCTTGGTCACCACTCTGCTGGTCGGTCGACCTGACATTCTCACCTGGAAGGAAGCCATCGAGCCCCAGCTGGAGATGGCTGGGCTGATCAACTTTGCTCGTGGTACCGTGGCGACGCCGAATTACCCCGACTTGCGTGCGGAGTTTCGCGCCGTGCAGCTGCTGACCTTCACAATCATCTCGTAGTGCTGCTCGCCGGGCGTGCAAATCGCCCTGAAGTCGTGCAGGGAGCACATCAACGCCGGTCACAGGGCGTGGCACTTCATCGAGTCGACTTACCAAGTCACCGACGACTTGTTCATCGCCCAGCTTGAAGGGCAACTAACGCACATGCGTATGGGCGACCAGGAGACGGCGACGGACTACTGCAACCGCGCTCGGCAAATTCT